GAAAGTAATAAAGAAGAGAGGAAAGGGTTAACAGAAAAAGAAGGGGAGTTGAAGGTGGAAGTATGTCTGGCTGAAGGGGAGTGGGAGGAGTCAGAAGTGACAGTTGGGGGAGGATATAAGGATGAGGAGGGGGTAGTGTGGTTTAGTGCTGTGGTGGAAGAGTATGAAAGAAAGAGGAGGGAAGAAAAACGACAAGCCTTTGAGAAAGTTTGCACCCAAGGTTTGATTAAAGATTTCCCTAACTTGCGAGTGGGCGGACTCTTGCCTGATCCCTCAGCTCAACAAAACCCACCTGTGTGTGTGCCAGCAAAGGAGTGGAAAGTGATCGTTGCTCCGTGGGAAGAGGAACTGCAGCGAGAGCGCGGTTGGAGAAGAGGGGCGTTTGATGAGGGTCCGGATGAGAGGGGGTGGATTCGGCACAAATGCTGTGGGACAATTTGTGCCAAGAGGAGTCCCCCACCCCCTCAATGGGGTTACAAGAAACCCTTTGGGGACCATCGCCGTTGACCCCCTGGGATTACGTTCAAAATTTTGAGCATGTTGATGAGGGTTTGTTACCCAGTTGTAAACCGTTGGAACCGTTAAAAGATGTGCTGGAGAGTGGAGGTGGCAATAAAAGTTCAGTTGTTAAAGTTATAAGGACTCAGCCTTTATTATTTCCTGCTGACATGGAGGGGCCGCCTGAGGGAAAATGCGAACCTTCTGACAATCCTCCTCCAGGATAAGATCATAAATCACCTGGGGTTTGTTGGCTACAGACCTGGCATTCAACAGTACCAGATTTAGAGTGGAGGGCTGGCTGAACTGGCTACCTCGATATTGGGGGTTGGTCACAGTCCCAGAATGAACAGCTTTCAAACATCTGTCCATTGTTCTACTGACACGAGTAGGGACTGTGCCAACGCCATATCTCCCTCTACCTGTGATCACAGGGATGTTAAAAGACCACCTGCTGGGCGAACAGGCCTTCCACTCCATATCCAAGAGAAAGAAAAAGAAAAAGAAAAATAGAGACCAATTAACATAAATTAATAAACCAAACAAACTTAGATACAAGCAGGTACATAAATCAAATATATACAATAGAACAGGAGAATTACAAAAAATAAAATAGAAATCCCAAATTTACAAACCCTCTGTGTAACATTAAAATAAATTATTGAGAAATCACATACTAAAGCCCCACATATAAATCTGATCCTCCCTCCTCCTCCACACAACCTTGTCCATTCAACAATATCTGTTTCAATGTTATTTTGAATATTGGTGTTAAAGATGATGTTGAAGGAGGTGATGTATTACTCGTGGAGGTGAGCCACGTTGTTACAGACACTGGCCCTTCCCGCCCCTTGTGTGGGGGCAGAGCGTCTTTGCAGATGGTCCAAGAAAGGGAGAGTGAGTGAAGCAGTTTTAGAAAAAGTCCCGTCCCCTGGAGATCCAATATGGCGACCAGCCAGCCAGGGAGCGGGACAAACAACTCACTCTCACTCACCGACACCCAATATTCCCCCCCACAGCCTTCCACACTTAAGCCTTCACTCCCCCTAAGCCAGGTGGCTGATGTTGGGAGGGGTGAGACAATCAGGAGTAGCAGGGCTTAGTCCTGGAAAACGGAGGGAGATAGAGCCAAACTCCGGTTGGCAGTTGGCAACAGCCCAGCCACAGTTCTTACTGTCTCTCACTGAGTGAGATTGTATCAGGCTGAAGATCTCCCGCTCCCCCAAAGGCAGGAATGCTGGTCCGGTGGGGCCCTGAAGACACCTTCAGCTTAAAAGCCTTCACTCCCCCTAAGCCAGGTGGCTGATGTTGGGAGGGGTGAGACAATCAGGAGTAGCAGGGCTTAGTCCTGGAAAACGGAGGGAGATAGAGCCAAACTCCGGATGGCAGTTGGCAACAGCCCAGCCACAGTTCTTACTGATACGATTGCAGGGATAACGATCTCACCAGAGTCATGTCTCTGGAACATTAATGTGATTTTAACTTGAACAATGTACTATCTAACATGTAGTTTGACTCAAACCAAAGTTGTGTTTCAAGCTGCAGGAGCCTGGAGTTCCCATATCATCATTGTTATTGTTGGCCTTAATGAGTTGTCTGGGAGTTCTTATATTTCCTGTTCTTCATTTTCACCATTACAAAGGGGAAGAAGTGTTCTAGGCTCTTTCATTTCTTTGATGCAAGGGTTGTAGCAAAACAAACCTTCACCAGGTAATGCTATAAAAAGTGCTGTGTTACTTTAAATACTAACACGGATTACTGCATGAGCTTTCATGGACTATAGTTTATTGTACCCAATACATCTGATACAGGTGGTTTCAGCTCTATGAAACCTGTTGGTTTTTAACTGAACTAACAGGAATCTGTTGGTTTGCTCCAGTTAGACTAACATGGTTGCCCTCTGGAAACTGTTAAGTAAACCCCAGAACACCTGCTGCCTGAAATGGATCAATGTAATTTCCTATTTAAACAGAAATGTTTTTCTAGCTCCCAAACCAATACATAATTCAGCAGGTGATGACGGTTAACAAGTAACAATGCGTTATGGATCAGTTAGTAAAGTGAAGTCCTCCATGTATCCATTCTAATCTGATCAGTTAGTAAAGTGAAGTCCTCCATGTACCCATTACTGTATAAACCATATTATCAGCCAAATTTTTCTGAAGAAGCCCAGTTCTTTTATCATCTGCCAGCCCCTTGTTGCAAGGGAATATGGGAACAGAAGTACAAACAGTCAGGTAAATGATATTTTGCTGGCCCAAGGTATTTTGTGGTCTGAAGGAAAAAAAGATGGTGTTCTCCTTCCCTAATCCCTATTTGGAAACTGAGTAGCTGATATCTGAACATATATTCAGTGTTGCCAGTGGATCACATCGGAGGCAGAAGGCTAATCAAAGAAATTAGAGTTCAAGGCAGAAGGAGAGTCTAACCCCCAAGCACCAGACCATTATTTTGAAGCCCATATTTTTCATTGCAACTAGAGGATCTATTTTGTAGATAACAGACAATTTTTCACCCAAATCAATCTCTTGCCAATTAATTAACCTCCTATTAATTACCCACTCAAACTATTCCAAATTAATTGTTCATGTAATTTGCACCAGTTTCCTACTAGATTCTATTCTAACTCAATTATCCTTCAATTATCACCATTCAATAAACCCCAGCTAACATGGCCAATGTTAAAGGCTTATAGGGGTTGTGTTCTAGAAGGTGAAGGCAAAAGTTTTTCCTCAGTCTGTTTCCAGGCAGTGAATGTTGGTCAAGATGGTGGTTTCTCTCCTGCCTGTAGTCCAAATGTGGTTTGATCTGAGAGGGGGGAGGTAGTATGAAGCACACAGGGCTTGCACAAGGAATCAGATGAGTTTCATGGCCATTCCCTGATCAGCTGCCTGATACTGCCATGTTTTAGACCTCAGAGCTCTTTTCAAGGCGGTAGTAGCATGAGAAACAAACATAGGGCAGTGCCTGTAAGGGGTAAAGTTCATTTGGGGGATCCTGCAAGAGATATTTGGCATTAGTAGACCCTGAAACATATTTGTTATAAATTACTTTCTGTGGATTTTGCTGCTGCAACTATTCAAATAAGCATGCTAAGGCTGGATGATGATGATGAAGATGAAGATGATGAAGAAAAGAACTCTGAGCAACTCAGAAGTACATTTCTTTCAAGAAATCAAGGAGACTTGGACTGGACATGTGGGCAAGTTTACCTGGTTCGGGAAGGGGAGTTTGCTGCCTGGTTTCTGTCTGACTCCACATCTACTTCAGGTATAAGACAAGGACAGGCTACTATAAATTAATGCCTTCAGAACCATAATTAGCCATTTTGGCACCAAAGGTGAGCAGCCACTCTGCTGTGAGGCATGGGCACAAGCCCCTATGAACAAGGAGAAGGAGGAGAAGAATGTGTGTCCCACCAAAAGAAGGGGAACATTTCTGCTTTTCAAGAAAACGAAACTGAATAGGCTCAGGAGGTATTGCTATCTGTTTTCCTAACACTCATCATTAGATTCACATCTACATTTTGGTGCCCCAAGGCAAAGCCCTAGATGCTCCACCCTAGTTACAGCTCTGCATGTTTTTAGTCTGAATGTCCAAGAACAACATGAATTCAACCTTCCAACAACAGAGGACCATCATCTCGTTGAACTAACTCCAGTTTCTCCAAGCTGCTGAATGCCCACACCAGATTTGGTTCTAGATGTGCCTACTTTTGGCCCCAGTCTTCTGCTGTGACCTGCAGTCTTTCGATATGTCATAGATATAAAGTCGTTTATCATGGCCTGTAAAACGTATTCAGTCATCACCACAAGCAACTGGACTATAATGCATCTCAGTGGGGGCATCTGGGGATGGGGGCTTGTAGGCTATAAACACCTGATACTCACCCACGAAAAACTTGGTATCCCAGTAGTGGCCAGGCATAGGAGGATCAACCAGGTCTTCATGGTGGCAATGAGCCTGCCAGACAAAGGCAGATGGGTTTAATCCTTTGCTTTGTTTTCCCCACAGAAGACAAACACACCTGTCCTCTCTCCAGCCTTCCTTCTTTTGAGGCACTCAAAAACAGTTCCTCAGTGGAGGAATTCTGAAAAAGATCTACTCCAGCAAAGTTGCTTTCTCCTTCTCCCCAACAACGTCCTTGCCCTCCCTTTCTGGTTGTCTGCAAATTTGTCTCTCCCATTTTTCGCAATCTCTGATCACATGGGCTAAGGAAAACATTCGTTTCACTCTCTTTAGGGGAATTCCATTTCCCCAGCTCTGCTGCCAAAAGGAAATCATTAGAATATGTGATGAAATAAGAAAACCATCAGGAGGGAGGGGAGGGGGAAGCATAAGAAATCCCATAGTGAAAGGAGGATAAGAAATCAAGCAGTTACCGTCTCTGTATGGAGCGGGCCCAACAATAGTAACTGTTGTGACACACCTTATCTAGAGATGGTTTCAGAGAATGGAGCATAGAGGAGGGAAGAGGAGAGGCTTTAGAGCGCATTGGCTGACTCCAGACAGTGGGCAGTTAAAATTTAAGAATGATTGATTCCTCATTAGCTGAGAGAATTCCCGTAAATCATGGTGTTTGTAAATGGACATGGGTCACTCTAGAGAACACGCCAGAAAGAGAAAGAAAGCTCATATTGGCAAACAAAGTTTTTATTTGAACTGAAGACTTTCTAATGGTAATTGTTCAGAGAGCTGCTTTACATGCTACAGACTTTTGACAATGAAATGAATCCCACAATATAACAGTGTGAAAATCAGTTATAGGTTGTCTTGCACCATGATCCTACAAGGGTGTATTTCATTGTGTGTGTATATATGTGTATCTGTCCTGGAAGGTAGCATGAAAATCTGTTTAAGAACAAACAGGCTATATATATATATATTTCATGCTACCTTCCAGGACAGATTCCATCTCCAGCACAATTTACAACCATTAATAAAATCACATAATCCAATAATAATAAACACAACATTAAGATGGAGTGAGTAAAATAACTGGGGAAAAACTTGCAGCAGCAAATTAAAAAAAAAGAGTAAAATAGACAAATTAGTTGCAATACCACAAATGATTCAAAACCTGTTTTAAGAGTCTGGCCAAAAGCTAACAGGGAGGAAGCTTTCCCTGGGGGAGACTATTCCAGAGGGATGGGGCCATCACCGAAGAGGTCCTGGTACTCAGAAACTGCCATCAATTACAACTAACTCTCTCTCTCTCTCTCTCTCTCTCTCTCTCTCTGTGTGTGTGTGTGTGTGTGTGTGCATGCGCATGTAGTAAAATGTAATAATATCACCCTAATCATCAAAATGAAGAGATAGGGGAACTGCCTTTTTCTTCCTCCTCCTCCTGCTGTTTCTCTCACTACCACTGTGTAAGGAGGTATGGGATGTAAGTAGTGCAATCTGTCTGCAAACAACTGAACATTGTGCTTTGAAAGGCATTTTGTGTGTAAGCAGAATTGCCAAGGAAATCCAGCACAGTCACATCTGACTTCAGAAAAGGGAACTTAAAAAAAACCCAAAGAAAAAAGAAAAAAAGAGCATTGAAAGGATTTTAAAAGGGGAAGTGAACTGTTTCTTAAAACCAGAGTAATAGAAGCTGAGCTAGAACATATACTGCAGGTCAAGAAAGATTAGAGTGGAGAAACATTACTCTTCAAAGCATCATGACTGGGGGATTCTGGGAGCTGTAGTCAAAAAAAAGTAAATTTCCAAGCTTTGGGAAAGCTATTTCTAAGACCAAGAGATCATCAAGATGGCTAACAAAGAACACCATGGAAGCTATTGAACAAAACAGGTTTTCTTCAAAAACTGGATGTGTTGTCCATATGTGAAGAAAAGGGAGCATAAATGTACCCCAAATAAATGCAATGAATGCGAGCAAAATGTTATATAAAAAAGGTGCATGCGGGTTTGTTTTGCCTGTTTTCTGCTTGTACTACTGAGGACTACAACTGCTGTGCAATTGGGAAAATTATTATTTCTGAAACTTTTTTTGCCTATCGCTAAACTATAGCACTAAACAGATGCCACACTGATTCAAATGCTTAGTATGTCCTGTTGATTCATCACTATTTCACTTGTAAAACATTTAAAAAAATAAGAAGGAATTTGAATGCTGGTGAAAGGAATGGGTAAGGTGATGATCATGGCAGAGAAAGGTGAGAGAGCCCGTGGGGCTATGTGACATGTGGGATAATTAGACATCTCTCTGTGAATTACAATAGCAATTTATTGTGATCCAGCACAGCATTCTGTGTCATATGCCTCAGAAGCTCGAAGTCAGCTAGGGAAGCAGTTGCACCAGTGGATGCAAGTGAGGTAAAAGAGGTCAAGGTAATTGCAGACAAGCTGAATGAATTATTTGCACGTGTCTTTACTACCAAGTGCATGAATTATTTGCACGTGTCTTTACTACCATTAATAAAACATGTGCCAGCACTTGAGCTGAATTTTTAGTAAGGGAGTTCTGGTGAAAGGTGAAGTTCAGGACTTAATTGTCTGGGTCCTAATTGTATCTACAAATTCTTAAGGAAATGAAACATAAAACAGCTGATCTTCTAGTAATAGTATTCGACATATAATTGCCTCTAAGACTGGCCTCTGGGTCAGAGGATTGGAACCAGGCCAAATACAGGGAATTACAGCCTGGTTATCTCAATGTCTAACCAACCCCCTAAAGTTACACACAGAAGTGACAAATATTTAGCAGACACATTGTTAGGTACCATCAAGTGACTTCCAACTCAAGGTGACCCGATGAATGAGCGACCTTCCTGTCTTCAACTGCCCTCCTCAGCTCTTGTACACTCAAGCCTGTGGCTTCTGTTAGGGAGTCAGTTCATCTTGCATGATTTACTAGTGGTATAATTAACCACTAGTGAATAATCTGTCCTGACACATGTTATTTACTTGGCTTGGAAACAATGTCTTCCCACACTGTTATTACTGAATGCACCCAGAGGTTTGTCTCATCTACTTTTCCCACTATACCCAGTTTTAGTGGCTTGTTCAGCATTTTCTCAAGCCTGCAGGCCTGAATGGCAGTACAGTATTATTGAATCGAAGTACCTCAGTTTTGTGCTCACTTGATTTATTTCACATCCCTTTGTAAATATCATCACTGTGATTTTTGACATGATGCCCACATTTCAATCAAGATGAAGTGTCTCCACGCTCTCAGTCCTATTATGAACACATGCTACTGTGGCTTGTTTGCTTAATTTGTGATTTATGTACCTTAGTAGTTGACTGAATAGCATAGTTCAAAGCAGTAATTTAGAACCTCTGAATATTTGGACTTCAACTCCCAGAATGCCCACTCAGCAATAGCCAATAGTACAGGATTGTGAGACCTAAAGTCCAAAATACCAGTGAGGTCAAGATGCCAATCCAGGAATCATTTATTCTTCTTTGACATTTTTAAATCTTTCTGATTGATAATACCTCTCCCAGATGCAATGGGTTATCTTGTAATATATGTAGGAAGCAAGCGTCACAGCTTTTTCATGTGCAGGACTGTTGTTCTCAATCTTTGGGTTAAGCCAAAGATTCACTCCAGTAAATCAATTGCCTTAACAAAAGGATGTAGACAGAGGCACATCTGTCAGACAATCCACATCATAGGAAGTTCTGAGGAGTCTTGACAAGTATTGACTTCATCAGTTGTTTCTCATAAATGCAACTGCCAGTGCACAAATAATTTATAGCTGTCCCCATGCCTTTCCCCAGAATCCGGCCACTTCCAATCACTTATCTAGGGCCCTTGAGACACTGCCATTGCTTTTGCTTGAAACTTCTGAATTGTTGCCTTTCTCTTGGGCAAGTGACCACAACATCTAGCAGGTTCTCTTAATTCCCTGAGGCCTCATTATCAGAATGGCCATTTACTGCCCTTTACTGTATGAGTGCTGTTGGCTAGGCTGTTGACTTCCCCTTGTACATTAGCTTGCTCCAGCTATGTGAGGTTACGTTGCTCCTCTGAAGATAATTCAACAAGGTGAGGCATTACATATTCTGAGTCACCTCACTTGTCTTTATTTCAATTACGAATCTTGAGAGAAAGAGAAAAGAAGGTAGCCAAAGTTCTAGATTTTATGGAATACTCAATATCCATTTTTATTTTGGATTGCAGCCCAGAAAGAGCATAATCAACAGAAGGAGCAACTTTCCTCTTGCCTTTTTAAAATTTCCTTCTCACTCCTGATGGTTCCGGTACCCATAAGAAGAGTGCATGATTTTGGTATTTGTTAAAAAAAATAATAGGTTAGGTATTGTTATTTTCTAATATGTCATTATTCATTATTTTCCCAGTAAGGCATTAGTAATGCACTGATATTACTTCTTAGTAACTATTATAATATACAAAAATATACTTAAGAGATAAGAAAATGTCAGGAATTGGGGGGGAAATCCCCCCATGACTCTCCAAGAAGTATATTTCAGATGTCAATGTTATTTGCCAGAAGAAAAAGCAATAATATTACTAATCACTATACTGCATTCTGTAAACATAATACAATTTCACCCTGGTTACTCCAAAAGCTAAGGGATTACCCATAACATTGTTACATACTTGTAACACATTACCTTCAAGCTCTGCCCAGCAGTCAACACAAGGCAGCACTAATAAGGAGAGAGAAAACATTACACAGTTTCCTATTTTCTCTTCTAACTCTTCCGTAAGCCATTTCTCTATGTGTTTTCTTGGTTCACCATTTCTTTTCCCAGCAATTCCTTCTTTTGGGCTTTTCAGACAATTGGTTCCTGCTTGAGATGCTGTCACATTTTCCTCCCTTTCTGATCAAGAGCTTATTGATGTATTCGCGAAAGCTTTCATGTCTGGGATCTGATGGTTGTTGTGGGTTTTTCGGGCTCTTTGGCCGTGTTCTGAAGGTTGTTTTTCCTAACGTTTCGCCAATGTCTGTGGCCAGCATCTCCAGAGGACAGCTTATTGATGCTTCCTCTCTTGTGATTTTAAAACATCTACTTGTGTTTTCTTCCATAAAATAAAATAAAATAAAAATTCTGCATTTTTTTATCCCCACCACAACACTTATGCTTCTTTTATTATACAGATCATCCAGGATCCAGGCAATTACCCCCTTTAAAAGCTAGTTATGTGAATGCATGCGCATGCACAGTTTGCTGATATTTTGCTTGGAAGCCTTTGCCTTACCTTTCAAATTTATTTAATATTTATTAATTTATATTTTAATTCTCAGTCATTTAGTCCTCAATTCTCCAAATATGGGGTCAAGAATTAGGATGCTATCTAAACTTACAAACTGTATAAACAGAAGTCCTGCCCAAGAATTTGAAAAAAAGTGGGAAAATTATTTTATTTAAACAAATAAAAGGGGTGCAGAAATAATGCTGTAAAATACATATAAAAAGCAAGGCAGATGTTAGAAGAGTAAAAATGTGGATTTAGAATAAGATACAACTTAGGATGAGCAGAGCATATATTTCAAAAGGTTAAGTAAATTTAAAGTATAGAATAGTATTTTT